AGCTCATTTTTCTCTTGAAATGTTTGGAAATAGTTAACAACCGCATCAAAATTAGTTTCGTTGTTGTGTTAGCCTTCGGCTTAGCTGACTTTAAATCTCAAAACTGAGACTAGACGAGGTTCGTCTCTTAAACTGAATTGATTTTTTACGTGCGTGCGGTTTGCGTTTGGCTGCGTGTGGGAAATATCTGAATTTTGTGGCCAGCCAAAGCAATTTGGTGGCATGTTATTTGATACAATCGGCCCCGGAAATGCAGACGGCCCTTTGCAATTGTGCAGGCGTGTCTTGGACTAGACTCAATGGTTTGTACCCTGAACCCATTGAAAATGGCTATAAAAGGGTATGATGCTTTTATGCGAATGTATGTAATAGGCAGAAGGAAGCATCTGCGAACCTATAAATATATATTGTTTCTTGATAAGGTCTGTTTGATATCGGGGACTAAATGCTCCAGGGAATGAAATTTCTAATATAAATTCTCCTATACCATAGTAGAATCCGTTTTTTTGTTCTAGGTCGATTGTGAGACTTGGTTTCTAGCTCGAGCAATCATTATGTAGGCTCTTGCATAGTTTATGGGATAAAAAAGTTAGAGACTTGCACTTTGGTATACATATACATACAATTCAATGCATAGAGGGAGGCTAGAATGCTTACAACAGCTGCACCAACGTGGGCTGAGGGTATCTCCGTATCGGGCACTCCCGTCTAGAGCATACTTGCTTGTTTTGTTTAACCATATGTATGATGGCCGTCTGTTATAGGTACACCGGTACAGGGACACAACCTGAAAGTCTTTAGACGCCGTGACACAAAGCCACTTGGCAAGCTGACGGCATTTGGCGTTGGTTAAAAGTCACATTGTTGACCTTTTTGGCGAACGTACATTGGAGAAAAGGTATTTTTTTCTGTTCAAGTAGTTGCTGGCAGCCATCGTCTCAGACAAGCGAGCTCAGCTCATTAAAATAATATTTAACCTTTGAATGGGAGAGACAAATACTTGTTGACTACACCAATCGCATACATTCATTTGGCGCTGCTTTTGTTTCTGGCACCGTCTGCGCAGAGCCAACGAGCCATGCGCAATTAAAAATTAACTATTTAGTTTTTTAATGCCCATAGTCGCCACCCCCTCCCGATCGACGCCTATAAGCAAAGCCAATTCAATGTTTAACGAGTTTTGACAGCTGCGCGTTTTATTTTTTATTTTTATTTCTTTTATTTATTTGCATTAGCATGCAATTTGAATGCCCTCACCAAACAGGAAACGCTCCTATTATCATGCTATTTGTGTGGCTTGGTTGATAGAGAAGTGCTTTAGGCATACGAGAGAGAGAGAGAGAGAGGGAGAGAGAGAGAGAGAGAGAGAGAGAGATGTGGGGAGAACACGTATGCCGTCCAGTTCTCCTAGCTAGATTTATAAAAATCGTTTTGTTCCGGACTACTATAAGTTAAGCATATGGCTGATACATTTGCAAAGAAATGTATAATATTAAGTTAAATAAATATACTTAGTAATCGATAATTGTTGCTGGACTTGAACCAGCAACCAGCCGCTTCCTAGTCCGACGCGCAGCTTTAAGTTCCAAAGGCTCATAACGTCATGTTTGCGGAGCAAGCAGCTTTATATATATTATATATATAAATTTATATATATTATTATTATGGTTGTTAAGTATTTTTAACCTTCTATAAACCACTGATTGATCCAGTATTATTGGGAAAGACAAACCCAAAAAGTATCCCCGAATCAGTTGCTTGAAATATCACGTGATTCAAATAAAATACTTTGCAAATAAAATAAAATACTTTGCAAGTCGCATAGAAAGGCTATGTTTAAAAAAAAAAAAGAGTTTTAGAGGTAGGCAAGAAAAGAAATTAGACACAGATAAAGGAACTCAGCGAGTAAGTGAAGAGTTTAGAGCGACATCAGGTGAACCGATAAAGAGAGAGATGTGTGGGATAGAGGCGATAAACGACTGAGATGAAAGAGAGAGGCAAAGGGGAGGTAAGGGTTGAACAGGAAAATTATAATAATATTAATTATAATATTAATTAAATTACCTACATACAATTGGGATTTTCTCACCAGACGTTTGACAAGACGTTGACTAAGTTAAACTCCATGAATACTCGTAAGTCTGTCAAGGTATTAAATCTTCGACTACCCGAACATGGCTGCTCTTTGTTTTCAGTTAACTGTCTGCGAGAGTACATACAATGTTTATCATGCCAAAAAAAAGAAAAAAAAAGAAAAACGTAAAATTGGCAAAGCTTTTGTTATTTGTTTTGACACTCATCATGAGGCGGCATCCCGCTTCTGACCTATGCGCCATGTTCACACGATGAGCGCAATTGGCGATTGGCCCGGAGGGTCTGTGTGCGTGGCATCTTTCAGCCCTGACATCAAAAATTTCTGCACTGATATCGCACCTAAACAACAATAAGTCATCAAAAAAAAAAAGGTGCTATCAAGTGCAATTTGCTCTAGGGTTGGGCATCGCCAACGCTTTGATTTAGTAATCAAAATTTAGTTATACAGACAAGTAATACTTGTAGCAGCACTAGCAGCGATTTCTGGGTAATAGCTAAAAGATACCCTAACAAATATGTGGCTACGCATATTAGTCGCTTATATCGTCTGCGCAGGCGCCTACAGTTTATGCTCGACAGAAAATTACACAACAAAGAGAACATACAAGAAAATGGCGTGAGGCAAATTGAAAGTACCAAAAATAAAATAAACACTAGACTTTAACAGCACTTAAAGAATCAGCTTAGTTGTTTAATTTTAAATTTGTTATCATTTGGTTGACCAGCGCCATTTCGTTGCGCTTCGTTTACTGCTGTTTTTCCTTCCGCTTGCGCTGTAGCAATTTACGCAGCATATTGAAAGAGCTGAGCACCGGCACCATGACGGGCAGAAAGAGTGGTATGTATATGGCATATTTCTGCTCATCGGGAAAGTATAGCTGCGCCAGTAAGCTGGCATCAAAGAAGCCGCGCTCCGAGGCCACAAAGGCGCGCTTGGCCAGCGCCGAAGCATCCAGTAAACGATGCTCGAGTAGGGCGGCCTTGGCGGCCAGAATGTCAACATAGGAATTGGTTATGGCGGTGGCTACCTTGTCGTCAATCACAATGTAGCTGATTTGATCTGGAAGCAGGAAGTGTATTAGACCATAACTATATAAATTATTAGCCATTTAATTAGATAAAATGCCTTACCTAGCAGCTTGACGAGACTCTGCAGCGTATTGCTGGCCGTGGCAATATGCCGTATGGCACTGCGACGCATATAGGATTCGTATTCCCAGCGCCTTGGGGCCAGCTGTTCGATGTCTACCGTTTTAACGCCCGCCATTTGCACCTCATTGCTGATGTCCAAGAGCTTGTGCAGCTGATCCAGCATCACCTGCATATTATCATTGGTGTTCACATAAAAGGCCAGCGGCGGTTCATTATTCACATGAGCCAGACACACGCGCTCGGGCGGATTGGCTATTATAAAACCGCCCCAGGGTGGCGATATGAATGCATCGACTCCGTCACGCGTCAGCATCTCGTTCTTGCTATTGTAAATGTGCATCGGTGCGGTGCTGCAGGGCGCTATGTACACAACTAGATTGATGACAGGTTTGTCTGTAATGCTAGCGCTCAGATTTTGTGCAATGGACGTGAGCAGGTGCGGCAACGCGGACTCCTGCAGTGCATAATGACGCCCCAGTTTGCTTTGGTCTCGCACCTGCTTGACTTCAGCCTCAATTGCAACGCGATATTTCCATTGCGTGCGCACCGTGTAGTTGGATATGTCCGATATCTGCGCCAAGAATGGCTCTATATATGCTGCAAATCAAATTGATTAGCGCGGAGTCAATAAATTCTGGACGTGCACTTACTCTGCGCTGCCAAGGCTACATTCCACTGAGCATGTGTTAGTCTAGGTTTGGGATTTAGCACGGATATAACAACATCATAGGCGGGCTGTGGTGCCTCTGACTTGGCGCCCAAGCGCTCATCAGTGCTGAGTATCTGGTTGATGCGATAGGTTTGCAGTATTTTTGAGTGCAGCAGCTGTGCCAGCTTATTTGAAGCTAAAAAAGAACAGAAGGAAATTGATCTCTAAATGTCGCTGGCTAGGATATTTCCTGTACTAGGCGACAAGCTTTTTTCGGAGGTGCCTTTTTCGTGCAGACTTCGATATGAGTACAGGCAATTACATCCCAACAAGCTACTTACTGACATCGCTGCGCATTAGCGCCGATCGCTCCGTAGTAAGCAGCAACTCATCTTCCAGCCTGGGCCACTCAATGAATATAAAATCGCCTACGCTCTGCGGATGTGCCTGCAGCAGCAACTTTTCCAGAGCAGCCGGCGTATGAGCTTCGGCAGCCTTGGCAAATGGTACCAGCTGCTTGAACTCCACGTTCCAGATATCTAAATGAAAATGGTCAGAGACTGCTCAACTGTGTGTGTGTGGGTTGATGTGTAATGTGCTTTTACCGCTGTCGCTGAATGCGTTTTGCAGCTCCGTAATGAGCAGCTGGGCGCGACTTGGCTGCTGTGTGTAGATGGCCACTTCTACAGCTGTTTTGATGGGCTGGTCACTGAGGCTCTGAATCGCCGAGGAAGGCAAATTGACTCTGCGAAAGAGAATGTGAATTAAGATAATCTTCATTTAAATACAGTCAAGACTCTGCACATGAAACGAACAATTCCTTTAGTTTGACTGCGGCGAACAACTCTAAAAAGACTCGAAGAGTGGATGTGTTCTCCAATGCGAGCTTTCACTGTAGCATGCTGGGATGACTCACCTGTAGACAGTAGTCGTTTTCCACCACATGGGCACGCCAATCCCCACGATGACCACAATGAACGCAATCGTGGCGGCGATGCGATATTTGTCTGCAAATGGAAAACATAAAAATTAAAGCATTCTAATTAAATTGTTTTATAAATTGTGCGTCTATCGAAAGGTGTGCATTTAATAGATCATTTTTGCATTTTTGTGTTTCTTTATACAATCACTTTATTGGGCATTTCTCTTAGTGCTTTTCTCACTTGAGTACAAACAACATTCACGCAAGTCTTTAGTAAACTTAAGCAGAAAAAACATTTGTGCATTGCCAGTCTAAACAACAAATTGTGGCTTGTATGTGCGGCGGCATTTTGGGAAAATTTGCTTGTAATTATTCCCTATAGCTGCAGGATATTACAAACACTGGGCCCTTGTCCAGCGGGGTGTTGCGCGAGACGTATTTGGTGAACTTGGTGGTGCCCTCGCAGCGATAGACAATATTTAAGGCATTGTCCACAGGCGTTATTGTCAGCAGCACTGAATCATCGTGGCACTCCTCCTCCTCCTCCTCCTGCTCATCCTGCTCAATGCTAAGGTCGCCATCGGCTACCGGATCTAAGCCATTCTCATGAGCAGCGCGCTGCTCTACCTCAGGTGAGAGATATGTTATGACCGCCGCGCCCTCCGCTGCATTTAGATAGTAGACCAAATCGAGTGTGTTCTCATCGCTGACCAGGCCATCGCCCAGCACCGTGTAGTTGCCGTGCGACCAGCGCTGCAGTTCCACGCTGCAAGTGGGCGTTATGGCATCGACGCCATACAAGTCCAGATCGGTGAAATCACGCAGTAGCTGGAACATGGTATTGCTGCGAAATAGCTGTAGCAGCTCCTGCACTGTGCCCTTCGCGCTGCTCAGATCCATAAGCTCGTAGTTGTGCGCATTTGCGGGTCCTTGCCGTCGCCATGTGAGCGAATCATCGTTCAGGAGTTGAGCGCGTGCTAATTCAAACTTTTCGCGCTTAAAGAATTCATACAAGCAAATCTCGGAGTTCTCCTCGATGCGTTTCTGTATGCTGCGACGGGTGGCAGCCTTTAAGTAGACATCGTTCAGTAGCAATCCTAATTTGGGCTTGTAATTGATATCTGGCTGCAGGTAGCTGAGGCGGGGAAAAGCGCGCGAGGAGTCTGCGGCGAAGGCTTCGTTGGTGGCGCCATGAAACCAGCCATTGATGGTAAGACGTGGATAATCGTAGGTGGTCACCTCGCCCACCTGGTGAAAGGAACGGGAGCCGACTTTAAAGAATGCAAACTGATTGTTTTTGGGTGCAATCTTGCGCTGCACCGGAAATTGTGGATAGCACTGATCATCGCTGGAAAAGATTTCCAAGCAGCCACCATGCTCCTCGTTCCACTCCTCAACGCCCTGCCAAGGCGACATATAATAGATAAAGGCTATTTGTCTATCCTTGAGCAGATCATCGTGAACCAGCAAGTAGTCACCGCAGCTATACATGCTGCACGAGGCGGATACGTAGTCCAGCTTCAGATTTGTTATTTCCTCCAGCCAGGGTCGCACTTGTTTGCGCAGCACCTGCAGGAAATTGGCAAGCAGCCTGCACTCGAGCATATTGGATAGATCGGTGCTCTGGTAGAACTCGTACAGATCCATTTGCTTGCGCGACCAGTGCACTTTGTTGATCATTTCGTGCACCAGAGCCGGCGGGTTATTTCTCTCGAGCAGATCAGGGAGTAGGCATATTTGAAACGGTTCTCCCCAGATCTGTGCACCAGTTGTCTCTTCCTTTGTGCTTGGCACTTGCTTTGCCCATGCGGACTGCAGCCATTGCGTCACATTTTTTTGTAGATAAGCTTTATTCAGAGTTAACTCCACGTCCGCGTCGCCTGCACCAGCAGTTGCTTCCACAGATTCGCCAAGCCGCGCCAATTTCTTTTGTGGACCTTCTTCACGGTGCGCCGATTCTGTGTCCACGAGTTTGTCTGCAAGGGCAACACAATGAATGACATTGCATTAAGCATTTAAATAGAGGGAAGGCATACCTTAAATTTTAATGTATGGCCGCGCACACCTAAACACACGCACACACACGGGCGAGCGGTCTCTTTGGACTCGTTGTGCCGGCACATTTTTACATTTACACGCTGTTCTTGGCTACTTAAATGCAGATACGTATGCTTCCACTCACCTTCGGTTTTATCTCTGCGATTGGGCTTCAAGGGACTAGTTTGTTCCATAATGTGTATATTTTAGAATTCAATTTTAACAAAATTAACCAAATGTAACATGTACATAAAGCGTCTGTAGCAAAAACAGCGATGCATATTACTACAAAAAAAAAAAGAATCGATTAGCATCGATAACAAATGCATGACGCAAAAGTGAGGCAACGTACGCAAAAATGAGCTAACATCAGCTTAACAGTGCCTGTTAACCGATCGTTCCACTTGCCACTTTGTTTCATTTTGTTAACTGTGTAGACTGTTGTATGGCAGTGTTTCTTACTTCCACGTCCAAATGATTTAATTAATCATTCTACAATAAGCATTAGGCACAGTAATGTTTAATTGAATTAATGTGCGTGTACTTTAGATATTAGCAATTAAAGAGTGTTAAGCGATTATTTTCTAAAAAGCTGTATTAAATGTTAGAACATCAGTCGGTAAGTGCATATGAATGAGAAGTTGAACTATTTTTGGTGAAAATTGGGTGGCAATGCCGTGCGATGACCTTGGAAGAATAGGCCCTAAATACAACACGTTTATAAAAACAAACATAAATTATGTATGCATGTGTGTGTGCGTGTGCACCATCGGAATGTGCGCGATCTGGAACGTGCGCTGCTGCGTTTACAGTGGGCCAAACAGCTGACTGCCACCTGATGAGGCGGCGAGGAAGACCTGTTTACACTGAAAGGGTGTGGGCGGTGTGGGGAGTTGCTATGATCTCATTCTTTTTCATTTTGTATTTTTGTTAATTTTCTTAAAATAGCTTTCACAGAACTCCAATGGGCAAGGATCAGCATTTACTCGAAGCAGCTCGCAATGGGGATATAAAAACCGTTGGCAAATTGTTGGAGCTGACGACCAAGCGGCATGGCCCACTGTCCAGGTGAGTGCAAATTGTTGTCAAGCACAGTGAAAACTCTCATAACGAACAGCTCACTCAACATGATAACTCTTAAACTCGTTTTCTAATTTGTTTCATATAAAAAAGACTTTTCATTGCCAAACGCTGCGATAATCAATAAAAAATACAGAGTTTATTTTTGGAACAGATCCATGTTGAGGCAGTCCTCTATAAATACATATTTGTAACCACAGTAGACTGATTATCCATCTATTTAAATGCCATTAGGCATATGTATGTGCGCATATGAACAGTATATGGAAATACGATATGTACACAATGTTTATAATTCGCAGTAAAATGTCTAACTTTGTTTTCGATGCGAAATACAATACACAAGTGATCGGAATAATATATATATCTGCTGTTTACAGCTTAAATTAAATAAATATAAATTCTACATGCGTTAGAGGTTGTCGCGACGTCTCGTGTCCTCTTATGGGAGTTTTCACTGTATCTATATAGAGAAATTCGAGATTTGATTGTTGCTCTCCCTTTAGCTTCCGTCGCAGCCCCAATATCAACTGCCAGGATGTCAACGGCTACACCTCGCTGCATCACGCCTGTCTCAATGGTCACAGCGCCATTGTGCGCCTGCTGCTGGCCCACAATGCCCAGGTGGATGTGCCCGATGTGCGCGGCTCGACGCCGCTTTTCTTGGCCTCCTGGGCTGGCCATCAGGATATTGTGAAAATGTTGCTCTTTCACAGCCCCATGCCGGCCAATCCCAACGCACAAACAATTGAGAACGAGACGCCACTGCATTCGGGCGCCCAGCATGGACACAATGCTGTTGTGGCCATACTCCTGTCATATGGCGCCGATCCCACCATACGCAACAATAGCTTTCAGACGGCTCTGGACTTGGCTGCCCAGTTTGGACGGCTGCAGGCGGTGCAAACGCTGCTGCGCGTAGATCCCGATCTGATAGCACCCTATCGGCGTTATGTTGAGGATGACAATCTGTCCGAGCTGCTTGGCTATTCCAATCAGTATAGCGCCACGCCCACCAAGCACATCTTCACGCACACTTGCCTGCATCTGGCCAGCCGCAATGGGCACAAAAAAGTGGTTGAAACGCTGCTCGCGGCTGGCGTTGACGTCAACATACTCACCCACGCGGGCAGCGCGTTGCATGAGGCAGCGCTCTGCGGCAAGAAGTCGGTGGTGGTTACGCTGCTCAAAGCTGGCATCGATGTGCATGCCACAGATGGCAATGGACGCACTGCACTCGAAATACTCGCCGACTATCCGCCACACGTCACCTACGAGATTGTGGCCGTCATCAACGGTTTGTGTTTCGATTGAGTAACGCATAGTAGGGGATATCTGTGATGCCATCCAAGCATACATATTCTTAAAAGCCCCGTCAATCCGTTTATATGCAAAGTATTATATACTCGCCGCAGCGTGAATATCTTACTTCACTACCAAATTCAATTGCTACTATAATTCTACTGTATACAGTAGAAACTCTCTTGGATGAACAGCGACCTTTGTGTAATTGCTGTTCGGAATGCCCGCCTGATAGAGGGAGAATGGGCGCGGTTGAACTTATGATGGTTTAAGAGAAAATAAAGGCGGTGCCTTATATACGTGTCCGTTAGCAGAGTTCTCACTGTACGCAGCTTCCTATAGGCTTTTTCTATCTATAATATGTACTTTATAGCAACGCCGTCTTTTATATCTCTAAGGGTATTCAATCTTCGACAGCTTGAAGCTAGATTTTCTTTAATTTTTCAAGTTCTAACGAAATGCTAACGCCTACGCATTTGCTTTCAGAATTTACAAATTTGGCTGAGGCGCAGCTGTTGCGCAGAAACCAGACGCAGCTGGTCAACAATCTGGTTATGGAGAATGGAAGCGAATCTGCGCTGCCCAAGCGTCTCTATGAAAAGAACATACAGCGGCCGAATCAAGCCAAGCTAAGCGATCAATCGAAGCTGAGGAAGTAAGCCAACGCACTAACTGACTATGTGACACGCCCCCCATGTTACTGTTGTTGTTCTAATTGTGAACTCAATTAACCATCAAACGCAAGCGGCATTAATTTGTATGTGTGCTCAGATCAGATCAGCTCAGCTCCAGATCCAGAACTCATGCTCATGGCTCGGAATACATAGAACTCATACCGAACTCACGCACCCGCACTCGCACACCCACCATTCACACACTCACACACAAGCACACACAAGCACACACACGCACGCACGCACTAGCACACATCAGTTCAGAATTGGTTGGTAATTTCATTTTTTATCGAAGCGCCTTCATATAACGGTTTTGGTTTTCTTTTTTTTATCTCTCTTCCAACTACTTTCAACTACCACCCCGCCTCAAAAAAAAAACTCCCCTAACTTAACCACAGTAGAAAGCAAGACCATCCACCAAATGGACTTTCGCACTCTTTAAGCTCTTTGGACAATTACACCAAACGGCCAGCAAACTATTTGGACATGAAACCCATACGGCCACAAAAGTCGGTGAACGATGTGCACAACTTGGAGCCGCGCCAGGAGCTGTGGATCAGCTATAAGCCCGTCTATCAGCAGCCATACCAAAGCGCTCTACTCCAGTCGAGCAATAGTTTTTCAAATGCTTCCATACCCTCTCGTTCCTATGAGTACATTAATCTGCTCAAGCCCAGCTCCAGCAGCGAGGAGCAGAGCCTCAACAGCACCAGCTGTAAGTTTACCCATAAACTGCGGTCATGTTTTAGTTAATCCAGTTCCTTGCCTTCACAGCAGCAGCGCCGCAACGAGCTGCGCCTCAGTATGTGGAAATGAAGCTGCAATCTCCAGTGCCCATGCCACGCACTCACATAAATGTTGACTATGAAAACCTAAAGCCCAGGATCAGCGAGCGTCTGATGTCCAGCTCTCATATAGATAGCAATAATAATAACAACAACAACATTGTTTGTCATTCGCCCACGCCCGACTGTCCGCCACCCACTGTCGTTGAGGCCGAGACGACAATTTTTAATTTCATGCAGCCGCCACGCCTGGGCGACTCCACGGGCACAACGAACTCATATTGCTCGGATCATGTGGAGGAATTTGTGGGTGACATGCCCTTTGCGGGACTCTTCAAGGGCTCTACTTTGAATTTGGCACAGGACGTGCTGGATGGACGCGGCCTGCGTTCGCCCAGCATGGTGAGATCCGTGAATGCGCTCAATCCGCGACGCAGTCTGTCCAAGCAGCGCTACTCCACAACTGGCGAGGATTTTAGCGCCTCACGCGTCTGGGCTGAGATTGATACTATCTTTGAGCATATCGGTAATGAAGTATCCACGGTTGAAAAGGAACAGGAGCATGAGCATGAGCAGAAACCGGATGTGAATGAGGTGGACATGGAGCAACCACAAAGTGAGCTATTACAGCCAAGTTCTCTAGAAGATCACAGACAATCGCTACACATACGCAATCCAGCGGAACTGCTGCTCGGCCAAACACCGAGTCCGGCTTCACATTGGTGCCATTCGCCCTATACGCTCGTCTACGGCGAAATACGCTACTCCGTTTATGTGTGTAACTTTCTTATGTATATTATAATGAAAGCTGCTAAAGCATCTATTCCTGCAGTATCTGGGCTCAACTGTCGTAAGGGAGCTGCAGGGCACCATTTCGACGCGCAAGTCCATTCAGAAGCTTAAGATCGATGAGAAACTGAAATCATCGTCAAGTGTGAGTGACATTAGTCTGCTGGAAAACTGCACCACATCGACAAAGTATCTCAAGGCAGCCAATCTGCAGACGCGTCTCAAGGTGGATATTGCCGCCTCCTGCCTTGGTGTCAAGTTTATAGATCATGAGTCAAAGGTTGCGTATCTCAGTTTTCATAAATCAGCACTAAATGGTAATCAATAATCTCCTTTACAGACTGCCATCTGCTCGCATAATATTGAGAACATCAATTGTGTTTGCCAGGATGCGGAGGACATGCGTTACTTCGCCTATATAACCAAAGAGCAGGATCTGCATTATTGTCATGTCTTTATGGTTGATAATTTGGTTGGTTTCTTGCATATTCTAATGGAGCGAGTGTACGCTTTAATTTCTGCATTATTACAGGAGCTGGCCAACGAAATAATCCTGACTCTGGGCCAGGCTTTTGAGGTTGCCTACCAACTGGCCCTGAGCAGGCAGAGCACACCTTTAATAGAGAACGATGAGTGCTAAATCGTGTGCCACAAGCATTATGCATTATGAAATCATATTTAATCTTCACGCCATTTGTTTTGTATTTTTTTATTTGACTTGCTAGTCGTTGATGCCATCATAAAACTGTCATTATTATTTTGAAATTGACACGTAGTTAAATTGTATTTTTTTTTTTCAATAAATAACTGGTTTCAAAGCCAACTGTCTGTTGGCGTTTTTTTTATTATCGATAAGCGTGTACTCAACATGATCGATGCTCATTAAGGCAAGCATCGATACTCTTACTGTTATTGCCCGAAAATGCATGTTAATTAACATTCGCTTTACGTTAGAACATTTTGAGCGCGACGAAGAAAAAGACGCTTGAATCGTGTGAAATAATTAGTGGAAAAAAATCATGGAAATAAGCTCAGGTAAATGCATATAGAGCTTAAATGTTGTCTTATTGCGTTAGAAATAACCACATTCTGTTGCAACCAACACACAGCAACTCAAATTGATGGCGTCCTGCTGCCGCAGGAATCAGCGCCTGCAGGCGCCACCAATACGCCTGTGGCGAAAAAAACACGACGCACCGCGCAACTAAAACGTAATGAAGAGATACTAAATAATGACAGTGTGCTCGAGGATGATGTGTTTGTGGCGGCACCGAAAACACCCACTGCTGCCATCCGCCTGGCCGGAGAGACGCCGCGCCGCAGCACGCGCAAGAGCGTGCGTCCGCCTATGGACTATGGAGATATTGTGGAAAGGAGTCTGATGTGCTCGGCCAGCAAGGACAAAAAAGACACGGCCGCTGTCGAGCCGGAGGAGCAGGAAGATCAGCCGGCACAGAAATGGACGGCTGCCAAAGTGGGTCGCCATTCGCGCAAGCGCAATCGTAAAACCAAGCGCGCGGGCAACAAAAAGGCCAAAACAGAAAAGGAGAGCGGCGATAGGGAGGAGATTAAAGAAAGGGCGGAGCCGCTGGAAGCAACAGTGACTGCCACTGTAAAGCCTGCCAAAGCAGACTCGGACACAGAAGAAGCAGCCACAGCAGAAGCAGGCGCTGCCGCAGCAGAAGCTGTCACAGTACTGCCGCAGCCCAGAGACAATGATGAGGTTGCAACACAATCTCCTGTTGGAATCAATCATAAGTCGCTGAAGGCAACTGCAGCCGAGATTGAGCTGGCATTATGCCCGGAGATAATTGGAAACGCTGTTGCAGCTGCAGCTGCTCCTATTCAGGAGCCAATTGCTGCAGTCAAGGCACACCAAGCAGCTAGAGTAAGAGCCGTAGATATGGATGAATTGGGCTTGTGCCCGCTGGACGCCGAGGAGCCCCTCACCGGGGACGATGAAATGCCCACACTAGCTTTGGACGATGATGATGACGAGCCCGAGAGCGTCCTAAACAGAACCTTTAATGCTGACGAACAGTCAAATGTGGATGAAGATATGCCCACATTAAGTATTTTCGAACAAAAATCGAACGATGAAGAACTAAAACAATCGGTCGCACACATGAAGAGCCCCTCTTCGACCAAAGCCTATCGCTTCCCCACACCCTTTAAATACAATTCCAACCCGAAATTCCAATTCACAACCAGCCCAACTGCATTCCCATTGACTGCGCAAGGCAACAACAGCCACAACTACAACTTGGAAGTACCTCGCAGTTCACGACGCAACCGTTCCAAATCTGCATCCGGACTGAATGAAACCAAGGCCAAGACTGTCTCCTTCTTCAGTCCCATCGAGGTGACCGTTGTCAGTGAAATCGATAAACGCTGGGATGCACTCAACAGCAGTCGTAAGTACTGGAAATGCCAATTTATCTCTATATATACAACTTTTTATTCCAATTGACCAATCGATTGGGGTTCATCCCAAAGTGTTAGATCTGGCTGGATTACATACATAGATGCTAAAGTAGGAATTCCATTAGCATCTATGTATGTGATCCACCCTAAGAAGAGCTTTTTGTTGGAAATTCCACCCGGATATGTGGAAAAATGGCGAAATCTTTTTTGTTTACCATCCGATCGGCTTAAAGCACACTTTCCAAAATCTTTTCTTGATTTAGATTTTAATCAAAATAAAAGTATTAATGACTAGCTTTTAAAATGGGTTTAGAACCAATCGTAAATCAACTTAACTGTTTTAGTGCAATTTTTGCCCCTTTTTCCACTCGGACGGGTGAATCTGCAAAAAGCGGAAGACCTTAAATTCGAGCAGGGGTTCATAAAATGAAAAGAAAGAAAAGTTGTATTCAACTAACGAACAACAATTTTGCAAAATTCAGAAAAAGGTAGTTAATCATCAATCAGTCAGTCAATCAATCAATCAATCAATATGTCGGGACAAATAGTTAAATATATATTAATATGTGTATATATTTCAATTTCTATAATACCATATGATCTGTATCAGACGTCACACAGCGTCGCAAGCGCTCAAAATCCTTGGATGAGAGTCGACATCAAGTCAGCCGAATTCCTAAGCCGAGTAAGTGCATCATCAGCCAATTTCTTTAAGATTCTAATCTTCCTCTCCTGTTAGCACAATATCCACCTATAAAGGCCGCAGTCACGCCCAACAAGCTGAAGAAGCGCACCAAGCTACCCAATTTCGCGGCCATACATCAGAAGCACTTCGAAAAAATGGAGAATCTGGTGGAGCACATTGAGCGGAAGGCGGTGCGCGCCAAGGTGCTGACCAACTCAGCCGTGAAACAGCAACAGCAAACAATTGCCTCGGCGCAAAAGTCGGTAGTCAAGAAGCTGGTGCCAGCAGCAGAGCGTTCGCGTGCCTTCAAGAAAATAGATGTGCCCAGCTATACTCTAACGCCCTTGAAACCGGAGGAGCTGATGCGGCAAAAGCAGCTGCCGACGCCGCGTAAAATAATGGGCGTGACACTGCCGAAGTCCGTAATACCGATACGCTCTGGCCAGGCGGGCAACAATCCAAAGCCGAAATTCAATTTGTCCACCGCCGTGGCGCCCAAGTTGTTCATTCCGGCGCCAAGCGCGACGTCCGGCCAAAATTTAAAAACCGGAGAGTCAAAGTTGAATAAACTGGAGACACGTCGCCAGCGGCACATGGAAATGTTTAAGGGGCGAAACGTGGTGGAGAAGAGGTGTGAATTTGTGCGCGGAGTGCGCTCTAATCGACGCTTCGAGCTGCAAATGCAACATCGTCGCCAGTTGGACGAGAACACGGGTTGATTATTGTCCAAATTTCATTAATTCATATTTTGTAGTCGTTTATTAATAACTGTTTGTATTCACTTTTATCCTGTTCAATTAATTAAAATAAACCATTTAATCCGGTCTAGGCGTAAAGCATTTACGACCAAAACCCAATGACTAAAACTGTAGGTGTTAAATATTTTTAAGTGCAGTTTATAGTAATAAACTTGTTTAAAAGGAATCTGTTCAAAAATTAACGTATTTACAGTGCAATTCAGACGATGTAGACGACGCACATGAAATTCACCACATCTATCGATAATTTTGAAAGCAGCCCGAACCTAATAATCGTTAGCTGCGCAAAATCGAGCACACATGAAAACATGTTGCCAAGCAGCGCGCTGTGCGTCAACGCCACATTGTTGTGCAACATTTGGTTTGTTATTGTGAAGATCGTTGTCGTAGCGTGCGGTCGGTGAATCGGAATTGCGCGACGTTTGTTGTTTTGGCATTACCGTTATTAAATCGCAAAATTGAAAGAAAAAAAAAACAGCCCATCGCGCGGTTTTTATTGTTGTTTTGTGTGTGTGCCAAATCGAAATTGGAGTTTTATCAAAATAATCTAATTTATTGCTGGAAAGAAGGTACGCCGCAGTGCGAATAAACAATAATACAAACAACAAAATAATAATAAACAAATGCAGCAATTTTGCCGCATGTTTTGTTGTTCTTCCTGCCGGATATTAAAAACGCTTCTTAGCTTTAGGCGTTTGTGTGTGTGTGTGTGTGTGTTTGCATTGTTAATGGACTTTTTGTTGGTGCAATGCATAAATATTTGGAAAAACTCGTTTCGTGTGGGAATACAGCACACACACGAATGCATATTGCTGGCCTTTGTCGCTTTTTTTTCGCATAAAATACGCTTCCAGTCGCATCTTTCGCATATTCCCAAAAAAAAGAGACCATAGTGAAAGCGAGAGCGAGATAGGGCGATCGGACCATCTGTGCCGGGAGCAGCAGCAGCAGCAACATTTCGCATTGACATTTATGAGCGGCGCTAACGGCGCTTTACACATGCTTGTGTATCCGTATGTGTGTGTGTGTGTGGACATTCATATGCGCACGCATCATTCACAGTTTGTACGGGTCTTCAATTTGTGCATGTGTGTGTATGCGCGTGTGTCGCCCTTCTTGGGCGTTTTGTGGGCTCGCGCAGGTAGCGGCAATTGGTTTACCGTTTATGCGTTTATTGTTCATTGTGAGCTCTGCTTTAACGCGCTTTTCATTGTGGAAATTTGTGCGTATTTCAGCGCATGCCCAACAGTCTATGGGAATTTGTAATGGAAATAAACGCGCAAGCACACACACGCATACACACACACATACATACGCCTTTTCACATGTTGCATTTTTAATTGATTTGCTGACGCGCCCGCGCGTAAGTCCGAGCAGCCGCAGCAGCAGCTGTTGGAAATGTGTGGAAGAATTTCCGTTAATCCATTTACTTCCAATGCTCAATTTTGAATAATCCATTTAAATGTATGCATATTGGAATATTTCTTTCTGAATTATTGTAGTACAGTGATACCTCGATAATGTAAACTTATCTTTGTATATTTAAAGGAAACATAATTTAAAATGCACTTAAAATTATTTAATAAGTATTTAACAGTTTGAGTATTAGATGAAAAGGATTCCCATTTCCGGAAAGATTTAATTTTCTTTTCCAAGTAACTTTTGTAATATGAGACAGGGGAGGCCCGAAAATGTAAATAGAATCGGAGTTCTCAATAAATGAGGTTTTCCTAGAACCAGAAATGTTTCCTTTTTTAAAGATACATTTTGTCTTTTAGATCTTTTAGAACTTTTTTGATATTCTAAATATATCTACCTGTATATAAATCGGGACTATTTAGATGTACTTAGTACGCAATACTCTTGAGGGCTTAAGAAACATACAAATTCTGAAATTTTTTAATAAAAGCCTACTAAACCCGTCGCTTTCCCTTTCTTATCTTTGCAGTGTCGAAAAGTAAACCGAAACCCCGTAAAAAAAAACAGCAAAAACAACACGCTAATCGAGTCTCGCTAATTGGTGACATAATTTTTCATAACTGGCAAAAGAAATATAAAAAAAGCCGACATAATTGAATTTTAGCTCTGGTCAAGTCCGGAGCGCGACTTGAACTAATTTGATGTGACGAGGTTTAATTTTTGTGTTATTTTTTGCGCGCTTTGTGCCGTTAATTGAGGCCACTTCACTAAATAATTCAAATAGCAATTTATGTCTAGCCGTGTGCCCACTGTACTTGTCTCTCACGATGTGGACCAGAAAAGCCGCTGAATGTGAAATGTGCCGCCACGTTTGCTGGCAAATGTGCGTCTTGTTGTTGTTCATGTTGCTGGGGGCGGCACTGGGCGCCACGCCCTTTGCCAAGGAATATCGGAGCGCGGGCCTGTTCAAAGGCAACACGCTAATCGATATGGAATTGGATGCAGCCACCACACTGGATATGGGCGCCGAGAAGCTATCGAGCAGCAGCGGAGTAGTTGCAGAAGCATCGAACTCCGGTGCGGATAATATCCTGGGCTTCAAGGCGGAATCTTCGGTGGTTTTGCCGGGCGTGCAGCTAAATGCAGGTGAGTTTCGCTAATCCAAAGGCAAAGCAGAATAAAAAGTTAATATGGCTAATGTTAAAGTTAAACATAATGCTTATGCCAGAGCCCATGATCAGGGGTATGTTCATAGCTATGTTAATCTAAATGGCAATTTTAAGACTAAGAAGACGCTGTTGTCATTAATGCTATGCTATGCTATGCGAATGATAATGGCTACATTAATGTTGATGCCGACATTTAACTTATTGGTAATGTTCATGTTCTGTTAAAGTTAAGCATACCGTTAATGTTAAGCTGCATGCTAAAGGCTGCTTTAATGTTAATGCACACATTTATCTTATTGGTAATGTTAATGTTATGTTAACAGTGCGCCATCTTAGCTTAAAACACCAGGCTTTAACATATTTTTTCCAATTTATTTAAATTGAGTTGACTCAACAAGATCTTAAGCAGGATCTGTTAAAAAGTTACTTTATATATGTCATAACATCTAAAACAATAGGTATGAAATATCACCTCTAAATGTCGCTTACTCATCAGGTAATCAGCTGCCAAGGAAAAAAAGTTAACATTTAATCGTGGCACAATTCCGAAAGCCCAAAATTTACGTCCGTAAGCGTCAAAGTGCTGCACAGCTATAATTTTGTACAAAAATATTAAGCGACAGATAAAGGTTGAGTGTGAAAGAGAGGGACGAAGCGAGAGGGAGAGGGCGTAAATTAGTGAGCGAGGCAGCCAGATGACGAAAGTACTTTCATTTTCACGCTCATAAATGGGGCCTCGCGCATAAAGCCCGAAAATGTTGTCATAAAAAGCGACGTAAGTTAAGCCGCTTAAATGACATTTAAATAAATAAGAGACCTGCGGCGGGGCGGACGGTAAAGAATTGCCCAAAGACTCACGTAGAAAGGTAAAAACAAAAACAAACCTAGGCACCCTTTCACTAAACAGGAGCGCTGAAGCGTTTGCTTTGTCTGTGGCCACAGGAAGTTGGCACTTTAGTTCCGAGTTCCAAAAAGAAAAAAAAAAAAAAAAACCAAATAAATCCCGAGAGAGACGACTCTGGCAGAGCCAACAGTCGGGACCAGCACACGTCTGGCTGTGATTACACTTTAATCTCGTTATAATGAGGCAACAGAATTTCAAGCAGCGGATGTGCCGAGCGTGCCGCAGTCTCGAAAGCGTTAAGCTGCGGTTGACATCCTGGATGCCCCCGCTGGTCACCAGCCCAGCCCAAACCAACCAACCATCGCTCAAGTGGAGGGCCAGAGCTATTGAATTACCAGAAGAGAGTCCACGTCGAGGGAGAATGGAAACAAAAGACAACGATAAAATAAAAAACAACACACACGGAAAACTGAAAAAGAGCAGACAACAAATGCACTTGTTGGGGGCAATTTTTTGAAATATGATGCCACGCCAAGGCGCAGGTCATAAACAACCGAAAGACAGCCGAACAACCCGAACGAGACGGCAAAGTGTTGTAAGATAAGGTTAGATAAGCGCCGGCCCCGTATACCTGAGACACACAAATCTTGAATAGCCCAAGATCTGAGCTGGAGTTGGTCTTGGAAGCGCTTCCTCGGGCACATTCGAGAGCGGCACAGCTCAAAGCGTTCAAAAAACGAGCTGAAATTGATAAGAAGCCCATGAATGGAAGTGCTATTTGAAGAATAGAGTGTGGAAAATTTGTTGCAGTGTATTGGGTATATTCATAAATATTTTCACATTTATAAGAGAAGAGATTTATAGAGATCAAAGGAGGAAGATCTAATTGATCTACAAGGAAATAGGTTTAAAGGAAACAGTGCAGATTTCCATACAGCTGGGCAACTGCAGAAGAGATATGTCTTTGTCGTCAAACTAATTTTTAAAGATCTTTGTTCAAAATAATTTGTGGAGTGTTTCTCACTTTTGGAAAAACCATTCCTCCTTGGCCGAAAGGGGGTTAAAGATTTGGTGGGTGACGTTTCGCACTTAAATTCATTTCCAAAGATCTATCGCAGAAGTCAAGCTTCCTCAGTTCTTAGGTTTTGTCTGATTTGCTTTAAACTTATTTTCAAAACTCTACACAAAAACTTATTGAGTACGTGTTTGGAAAATTCCACCCACAACAGTGGTAAATTGGCGGAAAACAGTTATATGAAAGTTTTTTGTTATTAATCCGATCGGTTTAAAACTCATTTTTAATGATCATTGAGATAATTTGCCACGGACAAGGACCTGTAATGTCCGCTAGTATCAACTAATTCCTCACATATGATGTTGGCATACCCCTGCAAAACTAAAAATAGTTGAATGGACTTAACATTACATTAACATGAGCTGTAAATTAAACATTAGGATTAAGCTAAGTTGACAAAAGATGAAAGCCAGAATTTACTAATAATTCTGTGGATTTGGCAATATACATAAACCAGCAACATTAACATCACCTTTAACATTACAAATAGCATGAGCTTTCAATTTAACATTAATGTTAACATTAAAAATTCGAAGATTTTCCATCTATAATAGTAGAGTTTTAAATATTATCATAAAGTAGTTTAGACTGGTTAACTTTA